CCCAGCCAGTGAATCCCATAATCCATGAATGAATAAAAGGGTCACAGAAAACGTAAGCCAGTGAATTATAGACCATTTCAGTCCATTGTCTCTCCTGAAAACAATCACATTTTTACTGTGTGAAATGCATTTGTATGACAGCCCTAATAGGTTGTTAGAAGTTTGTTTGAACATCCACTTCACCGATGTCCTGAGCCCTGCTCATAGTGGAAACTGGGTGAATGGCAATGACTGATACATGGGGATCAATTAAGGTGTTATGGGGAGTGAGAGGGGTACAGTAAGTAGCGAGAGTGATAAAGGGTGGTAGGGGCGGGGTGGGGGGCTAGATGTTGAGCAGGTATAGAGTGAGGTTAGAAGGTAAATAAGAACGATGATGTCCCCAAGAACAAAGGCAAAGGCAGACTTTCTAAACTGGCCCAAGTGTGCATCCTCACTCTTTTCATATTGCATTACATCTTCTCAAACTCAACCCGTCACAACCTCCTCTCAGAGAGGAAAATATACAGGAATGGTGTTTGTAGGAAGATTTAACATTTCAGAAACCAGAACAGGGCCAGAATCCTGTTTTCCTCAACCCCTGAAATATCTGGCCCACTGTGACAGTTGGGATTCCTTCAGTGAGGATGGGTTGATGTTGGTGACAAACTTTCATCTCAAAATAATTGTTCATGCCATGTGGTTATCTCTGTGCTCAGCATCGCCTGGTGTGTGCCTCAGGTGCTTGACTCTGCAAAGGCAATTCCTGCCAAATTTTCTGGAAGGAATGGGCATAGATAAAGTGAATAACATGGGTGTTTTCCCTAAGATGGGGGTGGTGGGGGAGGAGGAGGTGTTTCAAAATTTGGGATTTAGGGGGCATGTTTTTCAGGTGGGTGGAAAAAGATTTAAAGAGGACACGGGGGCAGCTTTTTTTTTTAAAACACAGTGTGGTTCATGTGTGGAATGAACTGCCAGAGTAAGTGGTGGATGCAGATACAGTTACAACATTTAAAAAGACATATGGATAAGTTCATGAATAGGAAAGGTTTGGGGGATATGAGCCAAGTGCAGGCAGGTGGGACTAGTTTAGTTTGAGGGCATAGTTAGCATGGACTGGTTGGACCAAAGGGTCTGTTTCCATGCAGTTTGTCTCTATGATTTTATGACAACTTATTGTTGTACTACAAAGACAGATAATCCTTGAAATAACATCTTAAAATGATCAATTTAAGTATAAACACAGACACTTGCTGCGATAAGCGATTATATTTTTTCAAACACAGTCAAACGTTCATAATTGGCTCAGATGTTAAAACAAACTTGAGGATATCTAAATAGAAACTACTGAAATGTGAAAATAGAAGATGGCCTTCTTTTAAAAATATAAACTACAGCAAATGTCCTGCCTATCAAAGTAGTCTATGAGCAGGTGTCTGCTTTTGTCTCCTCCAAAGTGACAGCTGTTGGAATTTTTTTTTTTAAAAGAACTCTGGACATTTAATTCACTTGAGTATTACTGTTGATATCCCAAACAATATTTTCTTTAGTTTTGAATACATAAAAGCATCTTACACCAACTGAAAGGCACATTTCAACACTCAAACATTATTTGTTATTACAACGTCAAGTTACCATTCATGACAGAATCCTATGATGAAAAACTGTAGTCTATTGAAACACAGCATCTAGTTGAAGTTGCTGCAACTTTTTATATACATCTGACAGAATGGTCCTGTATCCTCCACATCAGAAACAATTGAAAACCCATACCAGTCTGGTACAGTGCTGGTGGTGAAAAGTGACACCTAAATGCAAATTCTTCCTTTTTCAAAGGCTAAACACAATCAAACAATGAAATGATCAGCTTGCTATCGAATCACAGAACCTCAGAGTTAGGGCCAATCCTGACAGTCACAAAGATGCACCTTGAATTCCTGCATCCTTTAGTATCAGAGAACCTAGTCTGTATTCATTCAGTAGCATTGAACACAAATTCCAGTAGAACTGCACAGATACACTCACATGCACATGTACGCAGCTCTCCCACACATAGACAAGCAACCCTCATCCAGAGTTCCTACACTTACCTTGCCCACAGCTCCACACTCTCATTCCCCACATGTGCTCAGGGACCCGCACACGAGTGCTTATGATTGTGCTCCCACCCTCAACCATAGACCTACACATGCAATAATTGGCTCACAGTTCTACTCTGCACCCAACAATGTTTTCATTGAGAGGAAGATTGGCTGGATGGCCAAAGTGGCTCAGACAGAATCAACAGCACTGGGTTGGATTCCAGTGCCAGTTAGCATGGATTCAGTACTTGCCTCCTTGTCCTACCCATGGTGGAGGCTTGCAGCTCTCAAAAACAGACCTCATTTCAGGTAGAGAGCTGAAAAGGAATAGAAGGGGATAATGGGGAAATGACCACCACAGTGGTCAGATAGATAGGTTTTAAAAGCACGTTGAAGGTAGACAGAGTCAAGAGATAGATTTAGTGAGCTTTGAGCCAGGCAGACTTGCCCACTGTTGATTGGACAATTAAAATTGGGGATGGTCAAACCACACATGCAGTAAACATTCATCATCATGCCTTAGGAAGGAGATGCCTTGGAGGGAGTGAGTGTAGATTTACCAGAATAATACTGGAATCCAATATTTAGATTAAGAGGAGAAATTACCGCAAGTGTACATACAAAAGTCATTAAATGTGGCAGGACACGTGGAGAAAGCTATTATTAAAGCATATAGTATCTAGTTTCATAAAGAGAAGCATTGAGTGCAACAGCAGGTTGATTATGACGAACTTATATAAAACATTGATTGGCCCTCAGCTGGAGTACTGTGTACATTTCTGAAAAGTATACCATATAAAGGATATAATGGAGACAGCGCAGAGGATATTCACATGAAATGTTCCCTGTTATGAAGAAAATTCGGATAAATTGGTATCGTTCTCTTTTGAGAGAAGACAATGATTAAGAGATTTCATAGAAATTTCCAATATTATGAGGGGCCTGGTTACAAGAAAGAGGGAGGAACTGGTCCCTTCATACAAAGATTGAGAACTAGACAGAGAACTGTTTTAAAAAGGTTTTCTAAAAGAAGCAAACGTAAGGTGAGAAAATGTTCCGGACTGCACTGGCTAGAAATGTGGAGATTGTTCAGCATTCTTCCTAAAACATTATTCCCCACTGTACCCTTCCCAAACATCATCTTCAAAATCTGAATATTTAACCATAGTTTTAATAACTCTGAGCCACTACACATTAATTTTTTTATTTCAATGTGAGCACTACTTTTTGAAGCATTCCTGGAATGAGGAATGGTTGGACAGGTTGTCCGTATTGATCAGAAGTGATTACATTCAAACATCAAAGATCCTGACTTGACAAGATGGATACCAAAAGGATGTTTTCCCTTGTAGGAGAAATGTGAACTAGAAGACAGTTTAAAAATAAGAGGTCCCCCATTTAAGACAGAGATAAAGATATTTTTCTCTGTGACTGGCAAATCCGTGGATTTCACTTCCAGAGAGCAGCGGAGCCAATGTTCTCTCTAATCTGCACAGCCATTAGGTTGTTCAGCACACATACTGACTTCTGGTTTGGAAAGTCACTGCTGTGCGTGGATTTCGGAGGCCCATAGAGCAGCTGAAGAATTTTGAGGAAACATAGGGCAGAGGCAGGGTCACTGAATATTTTTAAGACAGAGATAGATTGTGTAGTGATGGTAACAAGTTCAGTCAGGTGGACCTCATAGGAGTTCCCTTACTGGGGACTGTTAATCTGGTCCAATCAGGGAGCCCTGGCTGACAGATATAAACAGGAGTATCAGAGGGTCTGTTCACTCAGAGCTGGCTCTGATGAAGCTGGACCAGTGTCAAGTACTAGTACTATGCACATGTAAGTAAAGGCTGACTTGGTGATGGGATACCAGCCTCTATGTAGATATCTTGACTAACAAGTGAGTCAAAGATTATAGGGGATATCAAGCAAAATGCGTTTAGGCGCCAATCAAATTTTGCCATGACAATGTTAAATGATAGAGCAGGTTCGAGGAGCCAAATGGCCTCTTCCAGTTCCTAACTCCTGTGCTCAGTTTTCAAAGATACCAAATGAGAACAAATTATTTAAAAAATAAAATCAACTGATACTGATAAATGTTGCAATCCTCACAACAACAATTAAGTTCAACACACTTAAGGAAATCCATCTAAGCAACAAATAAGCAAATCTAACTTTTTACATGAGTGTTAGCATTTGCAGCTTCTATTCACCGTTGCTCTGAAATGTTTGCTGAAACATTGACATTTTAAATAGCCCTTAAATTACCACATAACATGAAAGTACATGGCTTGATGCTTTGCTGCATTTGTGGAAGAAGTCAAACTTCATACACTACATGTCGAATTAAGGAGTTCCCTGGGCCCCTCTGGCATCATGGGTTTATTTTAATCATTGTTTCATTAAATTATTACATTACCACCTACACTGTAGTCTCACAGCCATAGAAAGTCTTGTCACTTTAGTGTCCTTAAGGGAAGGTGTTACAAGAAGTTCCTGTAGCTTATCAGCATTGCATATAATCTTGTTTGTGTTAAGGCACAAGCTCTTCCCAACACCATTTCATTTCAATTAAGGTGCGCAATACAGGAATAGATTGCATAATAGTGATAAAAACAGACAATATAAATCATTGTCTTAAATCAACACATTGATACCGAAAAAATTACCACAGTAAAGCTAATAAGAGGAAAAAAAAAGTGTCTCATCCTCTGCAACCCTGCAACATCCAGCACCTGTGATGCATGAGAAGATGATTACCTTTGTGTTCTCCTCCAACCTTTCAGCATTCTGACTTATACTGACAATCCTTCCTACCTTGCAATATTGTACGGGTACCTTCACAACAAGGACTGCAATGTTTTAAGAAGAATGTCTGCCATCATTTTCTCAAAGTCGGCTTTGTCAAAAATACATGTACCCAGAGAATTAAAAGAAAACCCAACATACCGATAGGTCATCTCCTCGGAGGAAGTTCCCTGAAAGGTCAAGATGTGTGAGCGAGTTAGGAATTTGTTGGTTGGCACTCAATGATTGGGCAAGGCTGTTCACTCCTATAATGAACGCAGAGTACACAAAGTAAACAGTTAAGCAAATTCTCTAAATAAAAACCAAAAGAACTGCGGATGCTGCAAATCAGGAA